TTTTTGAGACCTGTTTTCCACCATTCCACCAACTGTTGTGACTTGAAATTTCTGGGTTCCTGGTGTGGAGCTCAAAACAGATGGCTATAAACATCTGGGAGGAGACTGTACAAGGTGTGGATCTCAAACAAACTCCGAGTTCAAAGTTTGTGAAATGTACGTAACAGCTATGTACATATGTAACATCCCCTGTTCCAGGCTCCAACAGCTCATAACATAGAACTCCTTTCAAGACTCTATCTCTCCATCAACTAGCAATAAGAGCAGTGAAGAGATCACAACTCTTACAATATTGCATAAATATTAAAAAAACCGTGTCCAAATGCGGAATATGTGTCTGCTGCGCGCAGCAAAGACCATGTCAAAATGCAAAAAACTGTGATTTTTTATTAAGGCCCTTTCTTTATCCTAATTTCAATTTAAGAATAACCACACTGTTGTGTTTTTAGAGTAAAGAAAATGAGCCAAGAAAAAGAAATAAACCATAAATATGAGTTTGTTAACAAAAAAGAAAAAAACTGAAGATAACAGCAGAACATGATTTAAATTGAAGAAAAAAAAAGTTAATTTTCATGGATTTGAATGTCTAAAATTTGGTCCTTGTTGCAATATCATTAAGTTGAATGAGTTAAAATTTCAACAAGACTGGGATTACAGAATTTTTTTTTCAACATTTGGAATTTTACTTCATTATACTGCATCAGATATTTTAGATTCAACAGAAGTGGATTGTGTATGGAGTTGGAAAGCTGTTTTAATCATTTTCCTCTGGCTTTGACGCCTGATGAATTGGTTTCCCCAAGGGAGAAGCTTTAACTCCTTGAATACACTGTGATAACGACTTTTGTGGGAATCATAATATTTCTTGCTAAGAAGTCTGGTTTCAATTTGGGACAAGTTTAAAACAAACATTCCTTCGTCTTGAAAAATCTGGCCCCATTTTGAAGGCTTGCTGTTCTGGTAATAATATATCATCACTTCGACTACTGCTTTGGTCATCAATGCTTTCTTCTTTGGTATGTGATGCACGCGATCCTGGAATTTGTAGAGTGTGTTGTCATGGCAACCCAGTGCCTCAATAATTGAAGCCTTGACAGAATTTGAGTTTTTTGCATTGGGGGTGTGAGAATCCAATTCGACCAAGTTATCATGTTCGGAAGTGAAAAGATCATAGAACACTTCTTGGAGTTTTCCCTGTTCTTCATTGTGGATTTCCCCGTCAATATCCTCTCCTAAACTTTCTATTAGACCAGCATTTATCGACCAAAGCATCCAAAGTATGCTCTTCAGATCTTTGGTGATATTATCTTGTTTCAGGACTTCCAGGTGAGCTTCAATTTGGCTATTGGGATTCAATATTTGTCGAGTGATCCAACTTGTCAAAGCAGTGATGGTAGATGCAATGTTTGGCTGTTTTGCACGTCCGCGGATCCATTTATCGTAGTCCAATTGTATCATCGAAATAAATGCCCACAACTTCTCAGGTTTGCTTTCAAATAACACTTTATTTTTAGGTTGAACATAAGGTTTAGGTTTAGCAGAACCCTTTCTTCTTTTAGGTAGATTTCCAGAAACCAAATTATGCTCTTCAGATGGTCCGTTTATATGCTGAGCCCTGAGGTGGAGGTTTAGAGAAGTCGGGCCAAAAATGGGTTCATCTGACGTTTTATACACCGATTCTCCAGGAATAGGATCTTTCCATGGAACCAACGCGTATGACTCGAGCTCTTCCTCAAGCATTTTTCTTTTTTCAGGAACAAACTTAGAGGACGTATTCCAGTTTTGAATCTCGGTGAGAGCCACAAGAAAATTCATTTCCTCTGAAAAGAACACTTGCCATTTATGTTGGTTTTTGCTTTTGTAATAGGATGCCATAGCCCTTACTATGGCTTGGCTCATCAGAAGTTGCTTTTTGCATGCATTTGCGGAGGGCTGCTTAACGTAAATGGTGTATATTTCGTAGTCTGGCTGTGAATATCTTGACGTTAGCGCTGTTAGAATGAGGTTTGGAAGACTATCTTCTGTGCCATCGGAGTTGGTGGCCTTGCGTTGGACTTTTTCGCGTGAGACCCTCTCAGACTTCGCACCCTTCCCTAGAAGATGATTAATCCAATCTTGAACCGCGAGCTGTTCTTGAAGGTAGGCCTTGTCACTTGCTTTGAAGGTTCGAAGGAATTTTGAGTTGACACACCAGAGAAGATGCGCGAATTCTTGGATGCTATCGGTTAGCTGAAGGTCTCTCATCCTAGGCGTCAAACCTGGAATTCTCTCGTGCCGGAATGGATCTACGTTTGAAGAAAGTGACGTGATGAACCGTGCAATATTCGGTTCGTACTTGGACGTCAACTCCTGCCAAAGGAGGTCAGAAATGTCAAGCTTCATGCTGAAGATGACTGCCCAAAAAGTCATGTCAATATTTTCCAGTGTCGCGTGACCCTGACTCAAGATAAGCCTTCCTGGTCCGCTTTCAAGAATTTGTTCAGTTCCTTGGCCATCTGCTTCATTGTTCCTCTTTGAGCCATGCTCTTTGGTAATTGCCGATATGGCAGCATCTTGGGCTTTGGCTAGAGACTGACTTGGGGTCCTGTCCCCCTGTCCAAGAGGTTTGGCGATAGCTCTTTGAGTTGCGATGATATAATTGGAGGCGCCGCCTGAAGGCAGCAAAGTCCGGCCTTCTGAATGAAGAGTTGGGGGTAAGTTTTTTTCTACTTCCGGCCTTCTGTTCATTACTGAGAAAGGTTGGCTTTTGAACGTGGGCTCTGGATTGCTAGCAATATCCGCATGTGCTGCACCAGGGCAAATAAGTATGTTAGCTGCCGTTCCCAACTTGTCAGAAGAGTTTATACATCATATGTGCGGTGGCTTACTCATGGAACTTGACATCTCATTGTTTTTATTCCGATACCACCCCATGGATAAGTCTAGCCTTCTTGCACTCTCACTTGCCTCATTTTTCTTTCTTTTGCTTGGGTAGAAATCATCATTATGGCCCGCGTGGTCGGTCGCGGATGCCGGGTCCCCATGCATCGGCCTCCTTTCCAACTCGTCCGCCTGAGCGACACTTTTTCCCCAAGCACCTAAAAAGTAACTGATGTAATGAGTAATTCCACTGCATTTACAGGCTTAGATCATTCTGATGAACATAACTAAAAGATCACTCACCTAAGAAATCAATCTCTAATGGCTCCTGTCTTGGCATTGATTGCAAAGCCATTGTATCCGAGTCATGACATTGGGCGAGGAGACCTAAACTGAGTTCAGTTGATGGCTCAACAGATCCTCCATGTGCCGTTCTGTACCTGAGCGTTAAAAGAAATCAGCAAGATGATCAAGCAAAGTTTTGTGAAGTCTAGCCATGACTCAACCGGTCACTCCAAGATGCCGGGTGTGTTTCTGTCATGAATTGAATGGTGGGAAGTCCGAAACTTGCTGATAGAAATTGTGACTTGGACGACAGCATGAGGACATGCCAAAAAGTGTTCTTCATCCTTTCGGATTTGGAGGACCAAGCGGATCTGGCGGTCGCAAGCGCGAGAGGGCAACTTGCAGGTTGCAATTTCTACCTTGACCTAGCTATGAGTTGAGAAGCGGAAACAATTTTATGACCTGAACCGGCACCACACCATTCAATTCATGGGAAGTTTTGTGCCGCAGCCTTCACGAACCCATGGATGTAAATGCGGCAATTGAAACGTCCCGCATGATCATCGTCTTGAGTAAAGATTGACCCAAGCACCCATAATCTGAAATGAAATGCACACTTTTGGAAATTTTGAGATTGTCTTGTACTGGTTGTACCTGTTTGCCGAGGAAAACTACCCCTCGGGGTTCACCCATTGCCAAATACTCACTGGGGAGGAGCTCTCCCCAGCCATTACTTTAGGATTCCTGCTCACTGAGCAGAGGGCCTGCTAGTGCTGGGTGAATGGGTGCACCTTGTAATTGCTCACCGAGTAGGAATCTTCCTCGGCGAGCATGTGGTGATTGACCAGAAGGTATGTTGGCTGGCAAAGACACCTTTGACCTGCTTTAATCCAGCGGGGATTTCTCCTGAGCCATCAATTTGTACTTGCTCTCTGAGGGGGGATCCTGGCCAGAAAGTGTGTGCGCTTTGTCCCAATTGCTTGAGAAAGAGCTCCCTCGGTGAACCTGTACAAGGTGCTCGCCAAGGAGGAATCTTCCCCACAAACCAAGGAAGCTTCCCCCCAAACACAAAGCAGGCGCTTGGGGATGCTCCCTTGGGAGAAAGTATTCTTGGCTAGCAGGTACAAGCCGCCTGCCAAGGTGGAAATTGAATCCAGCCCAGCGAGTAGTTCCTAAGGTGGAATCCAGCCCATCGAGGTTCCTTTTACCGACTCCACCTCCAAGGTGCACCCACCCGGCAAAGCTGAAAAGGCCCAAATGGGTAGTATGCACTTGCGCAAGTTTTTTTCCCGTTTTTTTTTCGTTGTCATGGTTCCGATGGATTATCATGTAGGACGATTCAGTCTTGCATGTAAATGCTATGTATTCCAGTTAATACAGTGTTCTTACCTTACATTCTGATGTTTCACTATCCTAGATGTAGTGTTCTTACCTAAATTGTCTGAGACTGATTGATGGGGGAGGAGCGGCACTCCCACAGATTACGGGCCGTGGCACAATGTGTAGTATCTGTCCCACAGATTCTTATTGGTAAAACAGAAATTCTGACATTGGATTTGTGTTCCAGTTGGCTTGTTGGTGTCAGACATCTTCCTGCAAAATCAGGACCAAGGTCCATTGCATGATTTTAATAAATGAAAACAATTCCCCATACTGGCCTATGGATTCCAAAGGATGGTGTGGTATGGTGCAGTGCAGTGGCCAGTACTTAACGGTACATGAAAATTTTGGTAAAGACACCCCAGCTCTTTTCATAAAACATCATTGAAGCATCTACCAACTCCTCATGGAAACAACATGTTCAAGCAGTTTACATACTATAACACCTGTTTCCAAACTATGTGAACTTCACAATTTGTACCCAACTTCAAGTTTGGGGACCTTAAAACTGAAAGCAGCAACATAATGCAATTTTCTTGTAACAAAATTCCTGGCAGTGGAGCCTGCTTCAGCACAACCTTTGTGCTGATAGCTAAAACACAGGGCCTGAGACAAGCAATATACAGCAGAAATTTAAGAATCAACATATGTGACAAACTAAGGATTTGGACAAAGGGAGTTTTTTTCTTCTTCTTTTTGGTTGCAATGAAAAAAAAAGTTGGCAAAGGCCATATGAATGAATCATTCAGTTCCAAATTGAAGCAGTAATCTTGCTCTGATTTCTTCATTGATTCTCAAACTTGAGACAAGATGTTTTCTGATTTTTAAGCAAGCAATGACTTCTCTATGAGGATGACTGATCTAAACTATCTGCAATGGAATGACTTGCTTAAGATAACTAAAAAAAATGTGTGAAGTTTTGTGCTTGGAGGAAAAGAAATCTGAAACTGAATGATGAAAAATATCAAACTGTGTGCTAGAGGCCCTTGTTGTTTTCATTCTTACTTAAATTCTACTTGAACAAACAAGCATTGGTATATCAATCTTGTTTGAATGATTTTTTTGTAACCTTCTTTGAAGGGATTTGGTCCTCAGAAATTCTTTAGAAAAGGGGTCAGATTCAATTAAAAAATTAACTTGCTCTCTCACTGCTAAATAATCTATTTGGTTGATATTGCTCAAACAGATGAGGGTGATATTATGAATTTTCTTTATCATCACAACATTTTGAGTTCGACTTGAACTTGCAGGTGTCGATCCATATCTATTTCCAGGCTTTTCAGTCATAATTTTTTTTTTTACTTCATATTCCCCCTTTTTAAGGTTTTTATAATGAGATCAAGAAAACATTTATTGAATAGGGAATTCCGTACGATTGAAAATCAACTGGTGATGGTTGATCTATATATAATTTAGTTTCCATGGATTATCAGTTTCAGAAACATGATGATGATTCAAAATAAAATACAAAATTGATGACAAATTCATGTATTCCAGAGACAATGGGGTGGCCAAATTCATTTGATTTTAGGAACTTCTGGTTGTTTTTTTGGGGAGTAAGTTTATTTGATTTTCATGACAGATTTAGTGTGTGAATGAGTCTGGAATGATTTCCTGATGAGCAGAGTTTGATCGTGTTTCAAAATAAAATGATTTTCCCAAGGGATTAAGTTTAGATCACGAAGGTCTTGAAACTTGCTGTTCATGAATTCAAGATAGTACATCCTCTTTGTCAGTCTTGTTTCAATTTGGGCCAAGTTCAAGATAAAATTATCTTCATCAAGGAAAACTTTGAGCCACTTTGAAGGATTGTTATTCCAGTAATAACATATCATCACATTGACTACTGCTTGAGTCATCATGATGTTCCTCCTTGTGATGCCACCTTTTCGCCGTTTGTAATTGTAAAGGACTGTGGGATCACCACCAGAATCCATGGCTTTTAGTATCATTTCTTGGATCTCCCTAGTATCTTTTCCTTCAGGCGTTCTGTAGTAGAAGTTATCTAGTTTGTTATGTGAGCAAGTAAGCAGAGAATAAAATTCCTTTTGAAGTTTATCTTGTTCTATCAAGAACATTTCTCCATAGGGTTCTTGACCCAGGACCTCGAGCAATCTCGCATTGATATTCCAAAGCAAATCAAGCAACTTCTTCAACTCGACAAGAAAACTATCTTTCCTTAAAATGTGAATGAGCGGTTTGATTTGAGCACTGGGGCTGGCGATTTGTTGGAGTTTCCAGATGTGCAAAACTTGGACGATTGGATCGGACCTCAATCGGACCAATTTTGCAGCGATGAATTTGTCGTAGTCTGAGATGAACCTGGAAATGAAGGCCCACATCTTCTGCGGATCTTGCTCCAACAAGAGCTTGTTTTTCTCATTAGAGGTGCTCATTTTGAAGACCAGATCTCGACTATCTGCGCTTCCAGATGGTTGGAGGGACATTTGCATGAGCCGTGCCCTCAGACCGGGTTTCGTTTTGATCTGACCATGAAGGGAGATCACCGGAATGTCGCCTCTACAAAAATCGCATATCGATTGCGCGTCGACAGTCTTTTTCCATGGAAACAATGGGTGTGATTTTAAGACTTTGAAGTCATGATATAAAGCACAGTCTTCTGAATTCCAGTTTTGAAGTTTAGTCAGGCCATGGACAAAAAGCCGGTCCGTTGGAAACAAGAGTCGCCACTTCATGGGGTTCCCCATCTCATAATAAGCCGCCATAACATTCACTACAGCTTGAGCCATCCAGATTTGTTTTCGACACACCGCTCCAGTTGCCTGAAGGACGTTGTGACTAAACAATTCGTAGTGTGGATATGAATACCTCGCCTCAATAGCCATGTAAATGAGGCGCAGAAGGGCGCTTTGTTTGGGTCCGGAGTTGGGGGGTTTTCTGTGACCTTGTCCGGCTAAAACAGCGTTGGATTCCGTGAATAGATGAATAATCCAGTCTTGAATTGCAGCCTGTTCTTGAAGATAAGTCTGCTTGCTTGGCCTGAAGTTTCCGATGAATTTCGAGTTAACACACCACAGGAGATGCGCGAACTCTTTGAAGCTGTTGACGGATTCACGTCTGGTCAAGGTGCTCATCCAAAATCCGGTTTCTTGATCTCTAAACGGTGCGAGGTTTGAAGCAAGCGATGTGATGAACTTGGATAGAATAGGTTCATGTTCAGATATCAACTCCTGGTACAGTGATTCAGAGATCCCAAGCTTCATGCTGAAGATCCATGCCCACAGAGCCGGGTCGGTCTCTTGAAAATTTACCTCTGCCTCGTCCAGCACCAAGTTGTCTGGTTCGCTCTGAGTTGCAAACATGTGACCATTTTCTTCATGTGTGTTTTCACGCCATAGGTTGCGTCTGCCATCGACGTAGGCTAGAAACTCAGCGCATAAACACAGATTTGAGCTGAATCCTTCAGGCTGATATCAGACAAAGAGAGTTTAAGTATGGACGCATACCCAAGGGAGTTGAGGGTTGACCATAATGTAAAGGACTGCCGTCTAAACTCGCATCCACATTAGTCGGGCTCGGGATTGCCTGATACTTCATTTTTTTCCTTCCATGGAGCAGCTCATCGTCCGAGTCTTGTTCAGGCGCGGAAAAGTGGTCACTACGCCGGCTGCTCGTTGGCTCACTACTCTCCCGAGCCATGCTGAGTCCCCAAGCACCTACCACCAAGAGTCCAGAACTGAATATTGATGCCTTTGAAACCCGAGGGTGTGATTTGAATCAAAACCAAAAGGCTCACCAAGGAAATCAATCTCCGGTGCTTTTGCACTTGACTCTGATGAATCCACAATCAATGGGTTCGAAGCAAGGCCTGAACCGGGGAGGCCGGGACTGACGCCGTCCGACGCCTCGATTGGTCCGACGTTGAGCAATCTAAACCCGGCCCAACACCAGTCAGATCTAGTGGGACCAGAAAAATCCGCAATGGTCAAGGCAGAACTCAACCGATTACCCCAGCATCCAGGCTGTGAATTTTCCTTCAATAATTCCTTTGGCGGCAAGGCAAGACTGGCGAATCGGACCTGAACGTGGGGCCACAGCATCAGAGTACATCGGAAGAAAGCCACCATTTTTTGTTTTTTGTTTGTTTGTTTGTGTGCGGGCTTGTAGAGGCCGAAGTGAGTGAGTGACTCCAGTGTTGGCTTCCGAGCCGGCTGATGATCCTCCTATAACATCCGCAAGACATCCTGCCTTTGGGGCCCGTGGCGAAGAACTCTCGGCACCCATTCCCCTCGTCCTCCCGGCCCACTGCCACAACCTATTCAGCTTTGCGCAAAATATGCGTCGAAAGTCTTGTGATCTCGAAACACGTGTGAGAAGTATGTTTTGGCACGTTTACAACTGACTGAGGTTAAGTGAGGTAGATTGTTTAAGAATTCCTGATTACCTCTGATGTTTGAGCAACTATATAGGGAGCCAGGGTTGTGAAACAAATCGATCTGGATCACAGAATCTCAGAGCAGTTTCTTTTTGTAAAGGTGTTGCTCTATATAATGTGTCAATCTTTCGAAAAGAAGGAAAACAAAGTTATCGGAAGGTGAGAAATTGAATGAGAATTTCAACAACTCTGCACAAGAAGATGGAACGAAAGGACGAAATCGGAGGCAATGCAGTGCACAATGCAAGTCCACAAGACTGGAGGATTGGGAAAGGACCCAGGAAGGCCCCTATAGAACACAGTAACCAAAATGCATGGATTTTTGGTCAAAAACCAAAAAAGGTACTCACCCCAAATGTATGAATTGCTGTTGTATGGATTTTTCCCTAAAGAAGTGGAGGTAGTAACCAAAGGTGTATGAGAGTCACAAAATTTTTGGCCACAATGCTCCCCAAGTAGGGTTGATGGCGCCAAGGCCAAGTGCGCGCCTGAGGCGCCGCACCCCAGGTACGCGCACCCGTTGCCCCCAAAATCTTGAAAATTGGGGTGGGCGTGCACCTTCCCAACCCTAATTTCTACAGGGAGCCTGGGAGGATCTCATGGGAAGGTTCATAAGAGTTGGCCCCTGTACAGTGGGTGGACCGTTATTTTTGGCTGCTTATTTTGGATTTCAGAGCTCCTCAACACAAAATTGAATTCACAAGAATTGGTGAAGTGGTGCAGAATAGGTCACAAAGAATGAATATGAAAAAAATAAAAACAAAAAACAAAGTTTCAAAATTTGGGAAAAATAAAAAATAAAATTGTGTTTTTTCAAAAGCTTTCATATTCATTTTGGGGGAGTGGGAGAACTGGAAGAAAGAAAGAATGGAAAATGGGAAGAATGATTATAAAAGAAAATTTTGTAAAAAATTGTCAGGAGATGGTTTCAAACAACTGTTGAATGGCAAATTAACCAGCACATGTTATGGAAAAGCACTAGAATTTACTGTTTTGACTCCAATCTGAACAACCAACCTGGCTCAACCTTTTTTGGTTCCAATTTTTTTTTCATTTATAATCATTCTTGTCATTTTCCACTCTTTGTTTCTCTCAGCACTCCCACTCCCCCAAAATGAATATCAAAGCTTTTGGAAAAAACCAATTTTATTTTTCATTTTTCATAAATTTTGAAACTTTGTTTTTTATGTTTATTTTTTTGTATTCATTTTCTGGGACCTATTCTGCACCACCTGACCAATTTCCATGACTTCAATCTGGTGCTTTGAAGTTCTGGAATCCAAAATAAGCAGCCAAAGATAACAGTCTACCCACTGTACATGGCATGAGAGGCTGTCAGACGGTCTCCTGACAGAAAAATGTCGAGTAGACTTGGTGGCTTTTGCACTGCCAGTCTGCCAGACTTACATAGAAGTCAGAGATTGCTTTGTTTTTGGACCAAATTTCCACCAAGTCCTACATTACTTGCATTATGCCACCAATCAGAATTAACCAGACCAACAACAACTGGGTTGCACCTTCAGAAAAACACGATGTGAGGTGGAGGGGGTTTCTTATGACTGAGCTACGAGGAGATGGATCAAGATGACAAAAAGCAAAGTGTACCTACTGCAAACAAGTCTTCAACCACAGAAAACCTCACCTCCTCTTCTCACACATCAAAGACTTGTGGGCAGTTATTTCTCCAGAGAAAAAATCTGCTTACCTTTGTGATGCTGTGGCGCAGGCGGAGACGAAATCTCGTTGCCATCTGATAATGGTTGTGATGATGGTCAAATCATCTCAGTTTCAATTCCCTCAAACCAAAAATCAAATCCATCAGTCGTTCAGTTTTTTTTTTCTAGTGTTGAATGAAAAGACTCCGCACCAAAATTGTTTTTAAATTCAAAAATAACAAAAAATGAATTGGCACCAGCTTGAGGCCACTGGGAAGGCGCCCCTGGGCGTGCACTTTTTCAAACATGGCACCATCAACCCTATCCCCAAGGCCCCCCTTCTAACTTGAAAGCCCAGGCCCAATGCTTTGAAGGGCTGATGTGTAGCTCAGAGGGACTGGTGGCACCAGCAAGTAGGCCCCTTGAAGTGTGGACTGGTGTATGTTTAGCTTGTCCCCCTTTTTTGCCTCTTCTACCCCTCCCCCCTGTGCAGAAGGTACACACCAAAAATGTATGAATTTTTATGGAAAGTGCTGAACCTACGCACAAAACGTGTATGAATGGGCTCATAAAATGTATGAATTTTTCAAAAATCCCGGGTTTTTGGTTACTGTGTTCTATAGGGGCTTTCCTGGGTCCTATTGGGAAACAAGTTCCGATCTATCCCTTGTTTGAAACTGCACAAAAGCATGAGGTTATCTTTTGATAATAGCACCGATGTTGGGCTGAGTAGGACTGCTTCAACCGTGTACATACATCTTGCCATTTTATTGGCTGACGTTTCTTTCCGGATAGGAAAGTAAGTAGGACACTCAGAGCAACACTTTGAAATAATTGGATGATTGAGAAACATGAAATTTCATTGAAGCAGTGGCTTAGTAAGCTATCTAGATACAAGGGATTGAACAATGGGAAGAATCTGCGAAGAGCTGTTGATGACCAAATAGGAAAGGAAAAATGTCCACGTGTGAACCAACCTGTAGGAAGGATGAATTGAGGGATGTGTAGATATTCCATCAAACGATTGGCACACATAAACCGTCGCCTCTGACAATGAATACACCATCCACTCAAGGGTTGGGTAAACGATCGATTGATGCGTTTTCGTTGGTCGCTGCTTCAGCCTTGGCAATCTCCTCTCGCTTGGGGTACAGAAGCCTGAACAGCGTTTAGCAATGTAAAATATGGATTAATTTCTGATTGGTAATGATGGCATGATTAAATGTTCAAGAGGAAGGGTGAGTGGACTGACTTGTAAGCGATTTTGATCGTGACCTCGCTGACGCCGGCGACACCAGCGATGTCCTTCGCACTCTTGGGGTTGTTATAAAGATGACTGGCAAAGTAGATACAAGCGCTAGCTACACTGATAGGACTTCGACCGGCAAGGATACCCATGTCTCGCTGAAGGATGGCGATTCTCTTGGCCCCGCTTTGAACGAAGAACGGAAGTCCAAGATGACTGCAGAAACGGGCCATCAGATCTTCAGCGCCAGCACCACTGGTTTCGCCTGTAGTTGTGTTCAAAGCACCACCACCGCCGACCGCGGATGTCTCGAAGGCAGCAGAGAGAGCCTTGAAACATTGGCCAATTTGCTTCTTGGGCACTCGAGTAAGCGCGACAATCTCTTTGAACGACCGTCCGACCTTCGACTGCCGACAAGCGATAAAGATGCAGGCGGCAATGATAGCATCGACTTGTTTACCCCTGAGCAATTTCTCTATTCAGTATCCGGGAAACGGATAACAGAATCTTAAGCCTGGTTCACACTATCACCGTTCAGCCCAAGAGAAGGACAAGTATGTTTGAGTTTACCTTCATCAGCCCTTCTGTACAATTGCTTTGCAATATCTGTCACTGTTCGAGGGAGACTGATGGTGTCACACATGTCTTGAATCGAAAGGAAGGCGGCTGCTACGCTTTTTTCACCATTCTTAACGGCAGCTCGGGTAGCCGCACGGTTGAGATCACGTGCCACGCCGGTGTTGCCATCCTTAAAGGAGATGATGGTTTCGAATGTCTCCACCCCGTTCAAAAGTGGGTTGCTCGGTCCTCCAACACGAGACGGGTCGTCACCTTCATCGCCTGCGAATGTTCTCCCTGTGATAGATACGATACAGATATCAAGTCAGCTGCCAAGATTCAAAACGACTCAGAAAGAGCATATCTTTAGAGGAGGGTGGAGGTAAGGGAGCGAGAAACTGCAGACATTCAGAGCGAGTATCGACGATACGCTAGAATACGAAGGAGAAAAGCAACTGTGAGTGATAAGATAACTTGATTTGGGAGGAGATTGAAGGAGGGGAGGAAAGTGTATCTCACATCGCCAACGACTAAGCCACAGCTACCACAGACAAGATCGCCTGACGAGAACTCTTCGACGAGTCTCGCGCATTTGCAATCAGGGCAGATGAGACGAACGTTCTGGAGAGCGAGGGTTTGAGAGCCGATTAGTACACGAATGTTATTTGAGGGAGGGGGGACGAAGGACAAACCAGATCTTGTCGGAAGGCTGCTTCCTTAGGAGCCTGAGGGTTTCGGGATGGAAATGCGATGGCTGCCATTTCTGTTGATGATGTGAATGGATTGGTTGGGTTTTGAGAGATGTGAGGTTGGGTTGCGGTTGGTGTGATGTGATGTGGATGAATGGGAGTTGGCTGGTGGGCGGAGTGGGGTGAGTGGGAAGGAAGTCCGGCTTATATATCTGCGGGCTCGGGGATAGGGGATGTATACCCGCTCAGTCCGCCCCGAGCTCGGGGACGACTCGAGTGAAACCAGCCTGGGTGGCCCTGATATGTAGGCTGAGTATGCAGCCTTGGAGGACTGAGTGGCCGGTGTTTTTTTACATTGGGACTCCGATGTGTATGCGGCTACATTTGTATGTAGACTGGACCTCATGGTACATCAACCCTGAGCACATTCACAACGCAACAGAAGAAAATTAGGAAACATATCTATCATTTGCAGACTGATTACATAGCTACTGCTTTTGCTGGAAAGCAGAGAGGGCTTGCTTCCTTGGTTCCTTCCTCTTCTCCAACCAATAATCCATCAGATTATGCATCAACTTGATGGATACACAGAAGCGAAAGGGAACCAGAAATCAAGTAAATATGGTCCAGCGGCATCGCATCCATGTCCATGCTTAAAATTACGGATCAGGCTTCCCAAAGAAAAAAACATATGCAGTTTCAACTGAGACTGAGTATTATGGGGGGCTTACATGGAAAAAGGATATGAAAACTAAAGTGGCAATCATTTCAGCCCTAAAAAATTGATCAGTGGTGATAAACCAACTAGAGATCACCATCTCAAAGTGGTGCTTATCAATGACATTGGTTGAAGATTTCCGAATCCTCAAAAAGTGTTTGGAGCTATGAGGATGCACTTCCAATGTTGTAATCTTTCTTACTTGGCATCTGTCTTGATACAGACCATTCATAGGTCCAACTGGTGTTAATCAAAATGATCATCATGTTCATTCTTATTTGACAAGAAATTATCTCCTTTGACTTGTTTTTCCTCTTTTTTACTGATTACTTTGGCCAAAAACAAAATGAAATACACCAACATTTTTTTCATTTGGTTAATCAGATTGTGTTTTTCTTACATGCCCTGGTCCACATTCAAGTTGCTCAGAATTCTTAGACTCCACTCAGCCTTAAAAAGTGTTACAGCTCATCAGGCCAGTCAGTCAATTCCAGAGACATTTTTGTAGAGAAATAAACAACATGTACTCTGATGGCTCCTCTCAAAATTACAGTGTGACCTTTTCAGCAATTTGCCCCCCTTCCACTTTCTATGAGGGCTGAGGAGAATTCAATTTGTAGTATTGTGACCACTTGACTGTCTTTGCATGGATATAAGCCAAATAAGAGAAAACTTCCTCTAATGCCAAATAAGATCAAATGTAATGAAACCATGCAGATCATGCAGAGTCTTTTTTTTGCAATTTTTATGTTCACATTGCAGCCAAGCTTGAGTTGACTGTATACATTGGGTCTAGTTTTACATCCAAATTTGATGTATTTTGTTACAAGAGCATGAGTTGATCAACACCTGTGATATGAGTTCAGAAGTGAGAAAGAGGGACGGCCAGTCAGGAATTGGTACATCTAAATGCAAAGGAAAAGGATTGAGGGACATGCAGATGCAGACAAACCTTTCAAAGACCTTATAAAGCTCAGGCAAGGAGGTGACTTGCTTCACGTCATTTCTGAGATCAGAAGGCGGAGCAAGGTATCTCTTCATCGAGGGAAAGATGAGCTGTTTAAGCTGCTCCTTCTCGTCCTCATCAGTCGCCTGTATCTGCTCCTCACTCATGGATTCCAGGGGCAAGCTGCTTGGTGTGTAGAAAAACGCCAACTCGCGGAGGAAGCTGGAAAAACAGCTCATTTCATCTGTCCAATCACATTCTACAGCCACACGAACAAGAACTAACATGTTGAGTTAACACGGTCAGTCCAACTGTAGAGCTCATTTGATCAAGCCTTGGTCACATACATAATGGTAGCTTTTCCATGTTTGGGACATGTTCAGGCAATAAAACCGGAAGAGTAATCAGAGTGCCACTGGCTGGATCGATTTGGAATGAGAAATATTCATCCAGCATTTCTGCCTTGGAATATAACCTCTCACAGATTTTCTACAAGCACCAAGAGTTTGTATCAATCAATGGAACTCTAGCGCAGTAAGAGGTTGATTTTCAAGAAATGAGAGCCCACTCTGACAGAGGCTTGCTTACTTGTACTGCATGACTCCTGCCAATCTCATCAAGGTATTCGCTTGGTTCACTGTCCACGGCCAATGTGACGAGTGTCTGGACAGGTACAGCCGGCTTCAATTGGATTCGGTCAAATGATCCAAATTGGCGTACACCTAATTGATAAAACAGTTCCTCACTGCATAGTTTTCACCCCCAACATTTACAAAAGTCCACTTCATCAATCCAAGAAGAGAAAACCACACAAAGAGGGTTATTTCTTTACTGCTAGACTCACCAGAAAGAGAAGTGGTAGAGCATATGAAGCCGGGTCTCATGTTGAATGCATGAATAACCTTTCTGAGTATCCACAACACCGACAAACGTGTGATATCTGATCAGGTTTTCCAGATCTGCAAAGATAACAATCCGTACATCAATATTTGCAATTCAAGCCAATCACAAAGATCTGCACAAGTTAAAAGCAAACAAACCATCATCATTCTTTAATTTTATTTCTTGTCTCAGATCCTGAATACTCTTGAGGAGACAACGACTCTCTTCAATTTTGATCGTATGGCTTATGGACTGCGGAGCTTGAGAGCTTGAGTTATTACTGAGTGCAGGCATCTGTGAACTAATTAAGTCTTCGGTGGAGTTGGAGGGGCCGGGAGTAAGATCATCCCCGCTTAAACCAGTAGGCCGGCGCAACATAGATTGGAGTGTTTGGCTACGATGATCAGTTCGAACCAACTTTTGAGGCAATACTTTGGCGGACTTTGAAGTTTTAGATTGACTTGTATTGGTCTGCGAGCTATTGATTCCCTTGTCATCAGGAGTGGCCATCGGTAGAAGCGTCTTGTGTTGAAGACATCAGAAGCATCAGCTGGTCATCCCAGAGATCACCAAGAGATGTGAGATCTTGGCTTACCTGGACGTTGTAAGATCGACTGGAGTTTGATCCAGCTAAAAAAACGTTCAACTTATCACAAATCCGTTCGACGATCTCATCCTGATCCAAAAAATGGACTTCCTTCTTGTTTGGATGGACATTTGGATCTACTCGATCAGGCGCAATCTCCAAGGAGATGTATATGAAGGGGAAATTGCCTTTTGGGAGAATCGATTGATACGTGATTTCGAGAGACTTTCGCAATGGACTGCAGTCCACAAGCCGGTCTGCAACAACGATTTCGGGTTAGCTTTTCTTTTCCGGCTCTGTGTCAATGGCATAGGGCAGAGCAATTATGTATACTGGTGACTCACTGTTTATGAAGATCATTGTGATGGCTTTCTTGGCATTGTAATTTGCAGTAGAAAAGTAACCTTCTACTTTGAAGCCAAGCTTCTTGTCTGTAAATTCAAGATGCATCAACTCTTTCTTGAGGGTTTCGGAAAATAGCCGACCGATCGTTTCTAGGATGGTAGCACTTGCTGTGGTGTTGACATCGGGAGAAGCAGAGCCAGTCTATCGGATCCAAGTCAATATTGCAGCCATATAACAAGAAAGCAATAGTTGGGGAAGTACTTTTTTGCAAGAAATCGCGACGCCCTGATTATGTATGGCGTACCTGGTGACGACATCCAGGATTTTGCGATATTCATCGGATGGACTTTGTAATGCTTTTCTGCGTTGAGGGACATTGTAGAACATATCTTCAACCTGAATGGCAGTTTATCAGGATGAGAACCCAGGTTTCATCAACTGAGTTTTTTTTATAGACACGCGCGACGACTAATGTGGGAAGAAGAGGTGCCGACCGTGATCATAGTGCCGTCGTTTCCGGCACAAGGTTGTGGATCTGATGGTCCGCCAGCCTTCAATGGGGCCAACTTTCCATCCGAGTATTGGGCCCTGAGTGATATACATGACAGTGTTGTGGTATTCAGCAGGGTTGGAAGGTATCGGTCTGATGTTTCTTGTTCAGTCACTCACTTCCAGCCGACTCCTTCGGAACGGGTCTTCGTTGCAATGGTGAGGTGAGCGATGTGTGATATTGAAGCTAAGGCCTCGCCTCGAAATCCGTAAGTACACAGGGAGCTCAGATCATCGAACTTGCGGATCTTTGAGGTTGTGAACCGTTCACAAAGGATTCCTAAGTCGGCTTTCTGTTGGATATGGATCAGTAAAGTCCAACCGGATATCTGAATAGATCTGTTCAGGAAACTTGGACTCGCCCTGATGCCAGAGCCATTGTCTTGAATCTGGAGCATCTTTGCTCCGCCATCCTTCACAGTGATCTTGACACTGGTTGCCCCAGCATCGATACAGTTCTCGAGCAATTCTTTGATTGCATTGGCAGGCCTAATAATAATCTAACAAACAAAAAAGTAAAACAAGGATATCATCCTTTCTGTGGCCTAGCAGTCACGTAGCACAGGGCAATTGCGGCTTTCGAGTTCGGACGACAGTCATATGGAACGAGCATACCTCGCCAGCCGCAATGCGATTGACAACGGATTCCTCAAGTGCAACAATAGGCCTTGGTGTCAGATCTGGATGATTGTGGCGAGCCTCCTTCAGTGACCAAACTATCGTTTCGGACTGGAAAAGAGGATGGGCAGCGCGGGATATAATTTACCACATGAAGCAGTTGACTGTTGGTGATCCATGAAGTAGGTGATGGCTTGGAGTAAACGCAGCGTACGAGCAGAGTCCGACGGAGTTATAGACAGCTGCTTGATCACTATATACGAATTCGATCGGGCAAATCCCTTCCCCCGGGTAGGGCCCGGATAGACAGACCCTACCCGGGGGAAAGGGATTTGCCTCGAGGCCCGGCCCGCCCCGGTGCCCTGCTGCAGGCAGACTTGGGTTCAAGTTTGATACTGTAGGCCTAGTGCCTACCCATCCATCGCCAATGGCCCAACCCCAAAATCTTTGGTGTTTATTATTGTTTTTTAGGACAAATATGCTTTACTAAACCAATCTGCAAATGGTGGACTACACAGATTGAATTGACAATGTATGTAATATACCAACTTTTGTTCATGAATGTTCTTGAGAAACTGGGGCTTTCCTTCATCTGGCAAGATCTCCATGTGGCTACATGCGGCTTCAATTTTTCTAGGGTGCAGCACACTCAAGTTGGCCCATGTAGTTCTTTGTAACATCTCACTCTTCTCTCAACTGCAAGTTGGTACTGGACTTTCACCTTCTTTTGATCTATTAGTGTTCTGTTAAAACATCATCAAAACCACTTTCTTTCCAAATTTCTAGGCCACAAGTAAAAAAAAGTTAGTTTGCAAAGTGACAAGGCATGTAAAATATATTCAGGTACAGAAATCTTGAGTAAGTGTGAACAAGTACATGAATGATAGAATTGCAAAGAGATTAGGAATGGAATATTAGGAAGATAAGAGGGAAGTACTTTGGTGGTAAAGTATGTTAGCCAGCTAATCTTTAAACAGTAGCTAGTGAAAACTTTGAGAAAAATGTTTGCTCAATTGACAATGAATAACTTTATGAATAGGTGTTCAAGGGAATGACGAGATAAAAGTGTTGGATCCAAGAATGAAGGAATGGCAAATTAAAGTAGCAGAAAAAGAATACCCTCATTCTGGGATAGTCTGGAAGGATTGGAATGTTTGTGATTTCAGTCTTTGCCATCCTCGTTGAGCAATTCAGTCAGTTGTGATTTCATTTCAGACAGCATGTCTTGATGGGCCTTGATGAGTTCCAATGATTGTTTAACCATCCTTTGCGCTCGGCTTCTATCCACAAAATTACCTAACATTCAAAATTAAAATCAAATTAGTTCCTAGAGATAAAAAAAAAAAAGATAAAAAGTTCTTCACTAACAATCACAAAGCTTTTCATTGGACAAAACTTGTCGGAGTTGAAGTCCTTGTGTGATCAAGTTTTCGACTTCGATTGAATCCAGGCTCTTCAAGGTTTGAGAATAAGAGATAGCTAACGTACACAAAAAAGATGATGGACCTTTGAGATCAGCGCGCAGACTTGTGCAGGTGGAGAAGACTCTCAAATCAACAAAAACTTACTCGACTGAGCTTTTATCTCACGATTATTTGAATGATACTCAGGCACTGGCAGATTATCGACAATCGAGTTGACCGCCACTGTAGCTGGCTCTGCGTGAGAACAGTGGGAAGAACCAGTTTCGGTAAGCTCTTCGGCAAGCAGAGTTGCATGCTTCTCCAGCTGCAGCTGGAGTAGTGTAAGCCAGCGGGGAGCAGATTTGTAGAGCTACTAACGAAAAGGTTCATTGAGCACAATTACTTGGGTACGCGGCCGTGCTTTTTCTTCTCCTTCATTCTGACTCTGGCGACGGAAGGTTTCACCTACAACAGCCAGGGCAATTTATCAAAGAAAAAAAATGACAATTAGGGACGTTTATAACTTGCTTGACATTTGGAAAGGTCCAGCCAAATGAGAATACTGACCCATAGACATGCACTCTGTTTGCTTCGGCTGTCGATGGTCATCACCGGTATTAGAACTCGCCTGCGTTTCAGTCGTCACTTCGTTGATCTTAGCTTTGAGACAAATGTTGCAGATCAAGTAGTAACGCAGATGGGTTAGCTCATCTTGACTGTCCAGCCAGTCTAAAGATGACGATCGACTCACACAATCCTTCAAATTCGATGATCGGACTCGGTGAGCCAGGTGCTGATGGCTGTGTGATGCAGTCCGACCTATCCTTGGAGTCTGAGCTTTCCTGCTTGTGATGTTTAACCTGGTCATCCACCATGGAGAAACTTTTCTCATGAGCTTCGTAGCGATCAACTATGTTTTGCGCGGAGCTATTCGACTTCCTGAGGTGGCCGTTAGATTGAGAACGCCAGTCAAGAAGTTTTCTCGAGCTGACGGAAATCGGTTCAAGGGTGGCAGTACTTGGAATCTGTTCGGGAGATTGTAAAACGAGCGGCTGGACATCTTGAGCAACAGTTGGGATCTCGGCTGGAGATTGGCAAGAGGGCACTGGAGAGTTGGATTCTGAGACACATGCGGCAGGTATCGAAGAATCGATTGGAGGAGCTGATGAGTTTGCAAAATCCACGGTGAAATGTTCGTTCAACAACCCGTCGGTGAGCATATTCCAATTCTCTAGCACCCATTTCAATGCCTGAATCGGTCGTTCATCCGAGGCCGGGTTCCTTTGCGTCCTGCTTCCAAAGAGCGCCGGACCAAAAATCTTTGCTATCCCGGTTGAGCTGAACTTACATTGAGGAAACAGAGGAATTTGCGAAAGAAAGGCAACAACGTAAATGAGCAAGCTGAATGAGCGGGGAGGCATCAGCCTCATGATGCATTGTGCAGCTGCTATCGTGTTCTTCAAGTGTCCCGGATCAGGCGAATTGCGTTGCCTGACGCAGAACGACCAGAAGATGTGGAAGAGCTCTCTAGACATGAGGGGTTCGGGTAAAGCCCTCAAATAACGCTTGAACAAACTGCACAAGACATGAATATCTTCCGAGGCAAGGTCTACCCCTTCTCCATGTAGCGGCGCCTGCTCAAACGCCTCGGCAAGTGCGTCAATCTTTTCCACCTTCCCGGCAATCCGCATGAAACCAGGCGTTTCCATTCCTGAACAGAACAGTCGTCGTCAAAAAAGGGGTCAGATTGTGTCCGCGCAGCTCACACGTTTGATCAGTGCAAACTTACCACGGGCATAAATCTCTTCAACCAGTGAAAACATCACAATTGGTATGAGATGCTTGTGGCCTCCAATGACCGTAACACAGCTAAAAGGGTCACTCTCCTCCAAAGAACACCCAAATATGCCATATCTTGATAGACGCGCCGTGTTCCCAGCCGTCAAACCAAACGTGGCTCTTCTGTCATCAGTAGAGATTTCGCGGCGTTGAACTGATTTGCTTCTAGATGGGGGCTCAGGAGTGGTCGTCCCTTTCTTGTTTTTCCATCCCAAGCGGCCCAAGATCCCGTTTCCAATCGACCTTCGGTTTGGATGACTAGTATCTTGAGGCAATTGCTTGGTAGTCTCGCCTTCAAGAAAAGTATGCGTGCATTGGTGAATGAGTTTGTCGACATGGGTGAGCAACCTGAGCTCATCATGTCCGATCAGGCGTTCGAGGTACTGAATCAATTCCTCGGGGGACTCCTGTCGGACGGGAATTTGGGGCGGGTGACTGGTGTGTGTGTCTCCGTCAAGCACCGTTGGATTGTATTTGAAGCCGGGCGGCGTCTCGGGACGGAAATTACTCGTATTGGTGAAAGATTCTGGCCGCGCTCGTGCCGTTTGAGACTCATTAGCAACGATTGATCGACGTCTGGATTCTGGGACTGGCGTCCTCGGCTTGATGGGGCCTCTACCTTTTGGAGCCGTCAATGAGGTGGACGAGACGCGACCCGAGGGATTGGTTGATTTTGCAAGGTTTGGCCGAGCGCCAGTAACAACTGAAGGGGCCTGCTGACTGTCAACTATCGACCAGCGCTTCGAGGGCAGAGTTTGGGTGATGTCACGTGATGAACGTTCTGGCGGCAAATTGTTCTGAAAGTGGCCAGCGGTAGAAAAATCGACAGCGCCGGCTGATCGAGAATTGGGCGTTGATCGGGACGTATTATTGGCTTCTGGAGCGTTCGTGGAGAAAGAGTAGTTGTTTGACTTCAATGGCGTAAGGGCTGGGCGCGGAATAGAGCTACGACGCCGTCCATTCTGAGGACTCGTATCAACCAAAGGTGGTGGACGGCTATCGTGATTCTGGGATGTGCTGCGAGTGGGAAGATGAAGCTTTCGGGGGAAGTCTTGATGGTTTGAAGCCGACGATGATCTTGAAATCAAGCGCTCTTCCAGCTGCTGATGGCCATTTTTTTCCGAAAATATCTGATCAGTATGTGCTCGATGATGTTGCTGTTGATGCTGTTGGTGATGTTGGTGCTGCTGCTGCTTGACTTGGGCTTCAAGTTGATGTGGCTGTTGGAGCGATTGCTCTCGGCGCATGGAAAAAGACGCATTGGAAAGCGTTCGAAAGCGATGCAGCACAGGAGGGGGTGTAGGACGTTCTTTAGATAATGATCCCGAAATGTCTTTAGGCTGATTGGATTTCGAAAACGGGAGGATTAACGCCCGTGTGCCAGACTTGGGTGGATAAACGATGGATGAGCTCTGGCTAGCCACGGAGTCTGGCCGAGGTTTGGCAGGAATCTCATACGCTTGTTGAAAGACTCCTGGAGAAGTTGCACAGTTGGTGTTGGTGGTATGAGTCGAGCTGGTGCGGATGGAATTCATTGTCTGAGCCGAATTGGCACGCAAGCGGCCAGAATAATAGTCTGCCGGTCGTTCATCGGCGTTGTGATGCTGGCGCAATGTTTCAAGCTCACTGTGGTAATGATTGTACTCCGCTTGCCGAGCCTGATATCGAGCCTCGCCATCACCTGGGGCGAAGTGGGAATCGCCTGCCAACTGATCTCCTGGTCGAGCGTCATACATCATGACGTGTGAGCTCAAACTGTTTGACTTTGAGAGTTTGGGAGATTTAGCCAGAGCGGTGGTGAGATGAGAAAACATCATGAAGCTAGAATGAATCGCCGGCGCAGGTTGGCGAGTGGCTCAGGGAGCTGAGGATACAGGGGGAGAGGTTGATCAAGAAGGTTACAAACACGAAAAATGACAAAGATCAGTTGGGGAAGAGCACCAAAAAACGCTATGGCACGGCAATGCGAGGACAAGCCCTTGGGATAATGGTGAAGGATATAACCCAACACAACTTGATCAGCTTGGGGAACAGACGCGGAGCATGAGCGGCAAGAAGGGACACACAAACACCCACTCACCACAACAGCTTCCCAACGAGCATGGGAACAAAACAAGGAAACAGTCACTGTTGGACCATGGTAATACGCCAACAAGTTGAAAAAGGGTCAGGTAATGGGCCCAGAATGAACCGTTTAAAATGACTTGGCCAGTTGGGACTTTGTATGCTTACCACTTACAGAACTGTAGCAAGCTGACCTTCCGACTCGAGAGCAAATCCGAACGGGAAGAGTCAAGATTTTCAAGCGCTCGATCAATGATCCAAGCTCAAAGCCGTGGGTAAGAAGGCGAAAAAGTGCGACCCTATGTATGAGCTATGTAAATAACCAGCCTGTGTTTATTCTGAAGGAAAATTTTCCCTGCCCGATTGTGAGCCGGGAACTTGGGAAACAAGCTGTCCTCCAAATTGTGAGCTGTTGTTGAATTCGAACTCTTCGGCGGGGTAATTTCTAGGATGCAGGCAGTACCTTTACTCACGCTATAATTAATCACATCACGCAACTTGAGAAATGCTTGGATGCATGCATTTTCACGATACATACATATCAATTTCTCGGTGTCAGCGAAATAAATGTGAGGCCAGCCAGCGTCGGCCCCAGTTCTAGAAGAAACCAAACGCGTACCTCGCATCTCCCGGCCCCGTCTGTCTGCCCAATCTCCACAGCATCCTACAAAGGCACGTTACACCAGCTGACGTGGCATGTTTAGGCCACTCGGTTCTGACTTGAGCGTAAGCAGGAAGCATCATCACCACACGCGTTTTCGTTGAAAGGCATCCCCTATTGCACAAAGAGACAACCAACATTCTACAACCCGGAGCCCAAGTCCCAACACCCCTATGCATTCATTGTGCCAAATAGCAATAAGAGCGTCCCATGGAGTCCCGGTTAGCTTTAATGGCGCCGCTCTTGCACGCAATTAGGAGTCAGGACTAGTTGGATTCTGCCTATAAAGCTCGATTATAGGACCAGAATCCTTTTTACATTCGTGCATACAAGAGTGTAGAGGGAGCTGACAGGAGATGTTTCAAGTTGCTGTTCACCTCATCACAAGGAAGGACTCTTTGTAATGCCTGGGCAGAATATTCGTAGACTTTTCTAGACTATGCACTTGTTATTCTTCACAAATACACCTTCAAAGGTGTTGACCCCTTGACAGAATTAAAAATAACATCACATCCTGATGAGGAGTCTCACTTTGGCATAGGGGCTAGAATTCCATGGTCTAACTCTCAGGTGTTATGAAATGTATCCTTTCACTAGAGGAGACACAAATTGTAATAAAATAGTGAGGTTGAGTACATCCCATACTAAGTAGGATACCCTCAAATTAGCCATGGTTTTCAGCGGTGTTGATCTACCTGATTGAAATTATGACCAAATGTCACACACACAATCAACAACCAATAATGGATAAATACAATCTGGGGAATGATTGACACTGTGATATATCAAGAGTTCTTTGTCATGAGAAACATCATAAATATTAGACAAGAGAAAAGGTGGAGTGAATGAATAATTGTGTTATGAATCTGCATAAACCAATCTTCTCAAAGCAAAATAGGCAAAGAAAGCAGTGAGACCTGTTAGTATAGACTGCCAATAAGGTTTTGAATTCAGAAAGAAAAATTCAGGGTAGAATTGTGCTCAGTTATGATGAAAGATGAAGACATGATACTCTATCTATCGACAGATGATAGCTGAAATGGACTGGGTTGGATAAGGGTTGGGGAAAAATGTGAATTGCAAGGTGTTTAGAATTGGCACAAGGAGAGGCTAGAGTTGCAAGGTAGAATTCCACAAGTTTTTGTCTTTCACCGTCAAGTAAAGAAATATTTCTATGATGAAGTTCATTTTGGAGTGAATCCAGCAGGCCTTGAGCTTGGGCAAAACTGAAGCACTTTGAACTTACTCATACAATAGTAGGCCTGAAGTTCTTTGAGGAACTCTTCACACACCTGAGGATAGTATAAACCAGACCATGTACAATCCTTTCAAGACAAAAGCACAGAACAAATTGTAATTGGAGATGAGAAATTTAGAGCAAGAAAAAAAATATTTGAGATCAGTCTCCCATCCTTGACCAGCTTCTCCCGTTATATCATCTACTACATCATCATTGGCCTCCACTCCATCCTCAGCATCATCCAGGAACTGCTGTTCTTGCTGTGCCTCCTCCATCTTGTCACCATCAAGCTGTGATTTGTTAGAATTAATTAGATCCCATTGGAACAAAGTTTGTTGCAAGCTGTCCAACCATATCAAACCATGAATGAGAGCTCACCTGTGTCAATCAGATTCTTTGGTTCCAAACCAAAGAAAATGGTGCCATTATGTTTGGTTTGGAAAATTGGAACCAAAGGGCAGCCAGAGCTGGGTGAGCTGCTCTGAGCAGGCTCACCCAGCAGAATAAATTTCCAAAATCATAACCAGAGACAAAGTCTCTGTAGCTCAATGTTCTGCACTGGCCCTGAAATTTGCCCACCCATCAGGTTGTGGGTTCAATTTAGAGATCGTTCGTTGGTACTTTTTGCAGGTACCTGGTACCTACTGGTAGGTACCCCTCGCACCCGCCCCGCACCCGCCAGGAGGTGCCGGGTGCCGGTTTTTTTGGGCAAAAATGTGGAGGTACCCGGGTACCGCTACAGGTACCTTCTGATGTCTTAAAAACATAGGGGGGTGGGGCTGCACAGGGGTTGCAGGGGCTTGACTTCTGCCCAGGACCGAGCCCCACCCATCTCCACCTCATTCGGCGGGTAGGTACCACTACTACCGCATAGATAACCGGACCGACCAACGGACGGTCACCATCGACTATCGAAGACAAACCCCTCATCACCAATCGATCGACCTACAAACGGTAAGCCCCCCCTTTTTTTCTTCCCTGCCACCACCTTTGTTCACTATTTTTCCCCCTCTACTTTTTTATCATTTGAGCAGCGGGCTGATGTGCCTGCTTGTTTGCTCTTCACAGCCATACACAGCTTCATCGCTTGTGATCAAAACCCGCCAAAGCGAAGAATCTACAAGCGCTAGCGAAGCGAGACACGTCGAAGGATGTCCGACATACTTCGCCGCCGTGTCCGAGCGAAGTCTGTCGCTTCTCGCTCGTCGTCGCGGTCATACAATCCCCAAGAAGGAGAGGGAGAGAGCCAGGAGACACCAAGCACCCAGCCCCCATCTGCAAGTGAACAAGCCCCAACTGACCAGGAGGAGCTATGTAAGATCTCACTCTGGTCATTTATTCCTGCCTGTCTGTATTTTTTTTAAATTTTTCATTCAGGCTGATGTAATGTATGGTTTTTTTTTTTGCTTTTCACTAAAGTGAGAGCCCAGAGGGTAGCTCAATCTTCTGCCAGCTCAACTTATACTTCATACATTTGGACGACGATGAAGATGAAAATTCTTTCAATTAGTTATAAGTTGTAAATAGTTTAAACTTTTTACAATAAATTATTAAATATGAACAAATGAAAACAGTGACTTGGGACTGATCTTTTACAATAATTATGAAAAAAAATAGAAAAGTAATATTCCTGCAAGACTGCAAGTAAGAAAAAAAATAGAAAAGTAAGATTCTTCCAATTAGATGTACAACGGATATGAAAGAATGCCAAAAAAGTGACTTATGAGTGATATTTTACAATAAATATGAAAATAAATAATAATAATAAAGTGACTTGGGACTTTGGGAGTGAAACTAAGTGGAAAAGAGAGGGGAGGTACCTGAGGTACCTGCAACTGGTACCCTAGGTACCCCCCGGGAGGTGTCTGGTGTGGTACTAGGTATCTATTTTCTTGAAAAAAATGAACAGGTACCTAGGTACCAACAGGTACCCAGGTCCGAACGAACAATCTCTAGTTCAATTCCAACTGGCCCCATCCCCTGATGGGGGTTAGGGGGCAGGTTTTTGGGGGTTAGGGTTTTAGAGCATTAAATTGCCGGGTTAAGGCGAGTTAACCCAACCAAGCCTGTTTGCGCACTTGCATTAATTCGAGGTTAACAACAGGTTAGTTAACCAAAAGTTTGATTTCAGGTTTTTGGTTGCTAAATTTAGCGATCACTAACCTGAAATTTAGTGATTTTGCAGGGAGTTTTCCTCCAGGGGTTTGTTAACCCGGACGGATGCGTTTTACGACAGTAGGCTAGCAAACCCGGACCTCCAACCCGGGTTTCCTAACCTATAAATTAACCAGGCCGATGTGAATGCTCTTAGGGTTAGGGGTTCAGGGTTCAGGGTTTAGGGAGGTTGGGGCTTTTTTTTAAAAAAAATGGGCAAAAACTGTTTTCCCAGTTTTTTACCCAGCTCACCCAGTTGACTGTCAGCTCCACCCAGCTCTGCCTATGCCACTATGGTTCCAAACTGCAGATAATGAGACCATTATCTTTGGCTTGGAACCAAAGGTTTTCATTGACAAAGCTCTGAGAGCTTTCTGTTGACCCAAGTCTTGCTCCAAAGCCACTCAATGTCCTTGGCCCACGATCACAAGATATCTTGAAGATCAGTGAGTTTCTAATTATACAGTTCAAACATCAGCAGTTGCTGGCCTTTTTTTTGTGTTCAGAGTCCCCACACAAGTTGTGACCACTTCCCCAGTGGTGTTGGAAGGTAGGTCGCCTGGTAGAATAAGAGCATCAGCTGCAATCAAACTGTCAGAAACCAAAATAGATGTGCACTACAGGAATTGAACCTGTGACCCCAAACTTCATGAGTGATGCTTTAACCACTAAGCTAAGTGCGCTAATGCTTGCTGGGCTCATTATCTAGACATGTTCCACCGTAATGCTTTGTATCCTGGGATGATAAGTCTTATTTTTACATGCTGATCATTATATCAGGATCAAGACTTACACAGAGTGGGTGTCAGATTGCTTAGAGTAGGAATGGAATATAACACCCCCCCCCTTCCTCTATGCAGAGTGCAAACATAGCTTTTACAACTATTTGTGGTCAAGTCATCTTTGAGATCTTTTTCCACCTGTTAGGGTGCGAAGTGAAGCTGGAGACTCTCGCTACCATGTCAGAAACCAAAATAGATGTGCACTACAGGAATTGAACCTGTGACCCCAAACTTCATGAGTGATGCTTTAACCACTAATTCACAGCTGTCACTGGGATGTTGCACGCAGTCTGCTGCGACACCCGCGGCAAGGGGCCCCCCTTACTGCGGGTGTTGCAGCAGACTGTATGCGACATCCATGCATGGCTGAGTATGAGAAGATAGAAATTGATGGTGCGCAGAGTATTCTGGCAAGTCTTTTGGTCAGAGTCATGGTAGCTTCTGGCATCACTCAAGTGAGGCTTAATGCTTTTGGCATGAAAGCCAAACTTGAAAATGTAGAGCACAACTATGGGAACCAGTCGGCAAATGACGGGGCGTACAATTGGTTTGATATTGGTGTATTTCATAAGACCAAAGGAATTCCATTGTTCAAACCGATCAACAAGAGTGCCGATACCGAGCTATATCCAATGTTGCTAGACTTGGGCAAAGGTTATGGGACGGTCAGCTTTAAAGATATTGAGGAAGAAGAGATTGAAAAAATCAAAGTCTACTCGTGTCTAGTTAGGGTTAGGGTTAGGGTTAGGGTTAGGGTTAGGGTTCATAGCGTAGCGGCCCAGTGTTGATTTCACTTACATCCATTGTTTGTTCTTGATTCCAAATAATGAAGTCTTTTCATAAAAACATGAAAATATTCCATCCTCTGGAAGCCATTCCAACAGGTATTTGCACCACCTATCTCTCTTTTTTTTGTGATTTCATTTCATTTCAATCAGTCAAAGATAAATTAAGTGTACTACCAAAAAAAAGAGAAACCCTCTTTATAAAAAAACAAAGAGTAAAGAATGTAGAAAAAAAAAGAAGAAACAGAAAAGAAAAAAAGAAGAATGGAAGCAATTAATTATTCATATTACCTTCCATTTCAGCGGCCAAAGCGGACAAGAATTCGTCATCTTCAGCACTAAGTTGATCGACCAGAAGAAGCTGATCAGATTTCGAATTGGAGCGAGAATGAAGAGCAGGGAATTGATGATCACGATCAAGAGAAGTCGAAGCGGAAGAAGAAGACGAAGCTGAAGTAGTAGGATGAGAGAGCGGGTGAGATTGAGGATTGGTATGATGAGGAGGGGAAGAGGAAGAAGAAGGTTGAGGATGATCTTCAATGAGAGGGACGACGAGTTTAAGTTTAGAAGATCTAGAGCGAGCGATTCGTTTGCGTTTCGAGAGTGGTGAATCGACCTCATCAGTCACTTGATCAGAGTCGCTCTTAGGTTCTAGGAGTAGACGATCACCGGACCGAGAGCGGGTAGGAGAAGGAAGACTAGAGCTAGTCCGAGTGCGTTTCCGACCCCGACCAGGTTCATCAGACTCAGACGATCGATGGCCGTCCACACTCTCTTCCTCATCATCATCCGTTTCATCCAATGCAGCCATCACCTCAGCCGTCGCTTCCTTCCAATCCGCCGCCGCCATCCCCCACTCTTCTTGTATTCCCTCATCCTCCACCCCTACCCCCTCCTCCTCCTCCTCCATACCCACGCCTTCCAATCTCTCCGTCGTGCTACCTACAACCCTCTCTGTCCCGCCTCGCCATGAATATCCAGCCTCTGATGGCCGCGTCCATAGTAATGCTGCATCGTATAGCCATTTCGGACGGACTATTGATACATTGGGTCGACTTAATGCTAAGTTGACCTTCGATGTACCCAACTGAATATAACAACTCATTTAACATCAGATAATGTATGTTCTCGATCCCTCCTGTTTAGTTAAAAAATACGCTTACCTTCGCTGCGATTAGATGAGTGACTTTTGGTGACAAGTGAGTGTAACAACGAGCGCCAAACTGTTCGGCCAATTTCCAAGCATATTGTCTACAGAGTTCGATTGGAGAAAGACTAAGTGTTAAAAAAGAAGCACCAAAATGAAAGAAAGGGCAGGTATTTTAAGGGGGGGGGGGTGAGAGGACGCACTGTTCCGAAACGGCTTCCATTGGCCAAAGGCTCGAAAAAGCGAGATGAAGACCATGTAGAACGTCATGTTTGATAGCCGAGATGACAGCCTTGGGAAGAAAATACAATATCATTCCAACAAACACAGGAATAACGATCAGCTCCATTCTGTCTGTTTTAAAACATGATGAATGATAGGAGTGTTTTCATTCGAAAAGGAGAGTAGGAAAGATCTTAGACTCAACTCTAGCATCAGCTTCCTCAATGGAGTCTTGTGAATAAAAGCCACTATGTATATCTCCAAGGATCTATGAAAAGAAACAGAGACAGGGAGTATAAGATGGATGAAGGGTCAAAGAGAGAAAAAAAAGAACAGCAAACAAAAGACTGACTAATTTGAGTCGACTGAGTTCATTATCACGATCCACAAGGACCGCTTGTTCAGGGCGTAGAGGATGGTCGAAATCGACGTCATCATCCAAGCTAAGATCGGTATTAGTATCAGAATCGGAGGAAGAAGCCGAAGATTCGAGATCGATCGGTGCAGTTTTGGTAGCTACATTTTTTAACGTAAATGCCGCGAGTCCAGAAGGGAAGCGGATGATCAACAAATGTGAACATCCAGTTAGGGTCAAGGCTGGGAGGACTGACCTTGGATACTTTCGATCTGGGAGCCAGGTTGAGTCGGCTGTCCGATGGAGGCAGTGGACGTTTCGGGGTCCGGAGATGAACTGGACTGAGACGTACGATGATGGGCAGGGTCATTCGACTGGAAATCAGGAGAGGGGGTGAGGAGGGGTATGACGGGA